TATTCTATTCTATTCTATTCTATTCTATTCTATTCTATTCTATTCTATTCTATTCTATTCTATTCTATTCTATTCTATGTATTTGGGGTTTGTGTAATTGAATGCCTTGATTTGATCTTAAAGTCTCTTGTAAATGAGGTTTCTTTTCTCCAATAATGCCTAGTTCAAAAGATGAGTCTTGTTTCCTCTTGAAAAACAATTTTGCCTCAGTAAAATACAGACAAAAATATAGAAAATGTGGTTTTAGGAGGCAATGTCTGCTAAAACAAAGAGCTGCTTCTAATAGGCAACAGCAAATATATCTATTTTGATTAACAAAATTAGACTGGATTTGGTTAGATTGAATTTTCCCTGTACAGACAAATTTTGCAAACTATACATTTTATTCTGTATATTCAAAATAGATTTTTAAAACGAAATTGGATTTTTTAAGAGCTCAATTCTTGTGAGGGAAAAGTGTTGATTTTCTAATTATGCATAAATAAGATGGTAAGTATAATCTTACCATGTGTGATTGGTCAAAACAATTGCATATTTCATTCCAGAAAATCATTTTTTAAAAAAAATCTAGTTGATAGGATTTTTAAAATACATTTAAATCTTTCAGTTTATGTGAATTAAGGATAGCAACTAAATACCAGTTCTATACCCAGTAAGAAATTATATTACATTATTATAATGATACCTTAATAAATAAAGGATAGGTTTCACATGTATATTCGTAAAACAGGTATTACAGATTATAGAGGAAGGATGCATAGAAGTTTGCCCTTGGTTATATTGTTTACAGTAAGGTGCAATAAAGTGTGGTTTTTGAGTGGCAGAAACATTTCTGTTCACATATTTAGTTTTCTATATACTTTAGTCTCCCATAGTGACTTGTGAATTAGCTTGCAGCAGATTGGATGATTGTTGGTTTGCTGGTAACTTTGCTTAACAGAAAGAATGAATTTAAATGCCCACATTATATAAACTGATATACAGCTAAGAAACAGTAAGCTAATGCATTACAGAGACAGATAGAGGTCAAAGGAAAACCTAAACAGAATAGTAAGAGTTAGAAGAGAAAGAGAACTGAACTGATCTGATAGGAAGAAAGAACCAGAAAAAAGATTAAAGCAGAATAGTTAAGCCAGAACACTGGCAGAGTTGAAAGTTTGGAGTGCAGTAGTTTTTAGCAGCAGCACCATCCCAGTAGCAACACTAACAGTATTGTGTTGACTAGCTGGCATTGGAAGTAAATTTGCCCACTTAGCAAAATGAGGTTCACAAAAGTTCCAATGGCAGCATAAGCAAATGCAACCAATTGTGCAACTGGTTTAATGCATGTGAGGGCAGATTAAGGCCTGATAATGGGGAGATCATTATTCCTTATACAAAGAAAAAGGTAGCAAGAGGGAATAAAAAAATTACGAAGAATTAAATTACAAAGAAACATTAAGTGACTTTGACATTCAATTTTTAGCTGTGTCCTCAAGAGTCTATGAAACAGAACAATAAGTAAAATTTGGCAAGGGATCCTTCTAATCTTAGGCAGATTGTTCCAACGTGCTGGAGTGGCCACTGAAAAGGTGCATGTCCAAGGTCCTATCAGGTGACAACCTTTAAGTGTGGGAACCTGGAGTGTGCCCATCTAATATAAACTGAGAGTGACAGGGAGATACCCTCAAGGTATCATGGTTTACTTGAGTAAACTGGCCCTGTGCCATACAGGACTTTAAAAATGATAACCAGCTCCCTGAATTGTACCCAAACATTAACTAACAGTCAGTGCAGCTCATGCAGCAGTATTATTGTTTGGGTGAATCATGGGGCAGACAAAACTGTAATTCTGATCCAGCTGCAGATTCCAATTGGTCTTCAAGGTCAGCCCCAAGTTGCAGTAATCTGAACAGGAGGCAACTATATCACAGAAATCTATCCATGAAGTAGCTTGATGCTCAGTAGTAAGAATGGGACTGGAGGATAGAAGATCAGAGTATGTGGAAGCCCACAATAATGAACTCTTTTTTCTGTTTAAGGAACAGTTGAAGTTATACAGATGAAACTCAAAAAATTAGAATATCGTACAAAAGTTCATTTATTTCAATAATGCAACTTAAAAGGTGAAACTAAAGAAGAGATAGACTCATTACATGCAAAGCAAGATAGTTCAAGCCGTGATTTGTCATAATTGTGACGATTATGGCTTACAGCTCATGAAAACCCCAAATCCACAATCTCAGAAAATTAGAATATTACATGCAATCAATAAAACAAGGATTGTACATAGAACAATATCGGACCTCTGAAAAGTATAAGCATGCATAAGTACTCAGTACTTGGTTTGGGCCCCTTTTGTAGAAATTACTGCCTCAATGTGGTGTGGCATGGAAGCTATCAGCCTGTGGCACTGCTGAAGTGTTATGGAAGACCAGGATGCTTCAATAGCGGCCTTCAGCTCTTCTGCATTGTTTGGTCTCATGTCTCTTGGCAATGCCCCATAGATTCTCTATGGGGTTCAGGTCAGGTGAGTTTGCTGGTCAATCAAACACAGTAATCCCATGGTTATTGAAACAGGTTTTGGTGCTTTTGGCAGTGTGGGCAGGGGCCAAGTCCTGCTGGAAGATGAAGTCAGCATCCCCATAAAGCTCGTCTATGGAAGGAGGCATGAACTGCTCCAAAATCTCCTGGTAGACGGCTGCGTTGACCCTGGACTTAATGAAGCACAGTGGACCAACACCAGCAGATGACATGGCTCCCCAAATCAACACAGACTGTGGAAACTTCACATTGCTTTTCAAGCATCTTGCAGTGTGTGCCTCTCCATTCTTCCTCCAGACTCTAGGTCCTTGGTTTCCAAATGAGATGCAAAAGTTGCTCTCATCAGAAAAGAGGACTTTGGACTACTGAGCAACAGACCAGTTCTGTGTTTCTTTAGCCCAGGTAAGACGCTTCTGACATTGTTTGTTGTTCAGGAGCGGCTTGACAAGAGGAATATGACATTTGGAGCCCATGTCCAGGATCTGTCTGTGTGTGGTAGCTCTTGATGCACTGACTCCAGCCTCAGTCCACTCCTTGTGAAAGTCCCCAACACTTTTGAAGGGCCTTTTCCTGACAATCCTCTCCAGGCTGTGGTCATCCCTGCTGCTTGTGCACCTTTTTCTTCCACACTTTTGATACAGCACTTTGGGAGCATCCAACTTCTTTTGCAATTACCTTTTGAGGCTTTCCTTCCTTATGGAGGGTATCAATGATGGTTTTCTGCACAACTGTCAGGTCAGCAGTCTTTCCCATGATTGTGATTCCTACTGAACCAGACTGAGAAACCATTTAAAGGCTCAGAAACCCTTTGCAGGTGTTATGGCTTAATTAGCTGATTAAAGCAGGACACTTTGAGCCTAGAATATTGAATCTTTTCACAATATTCTAATTTTCTGAGATTGTGGATTTGGAGTTTTCATGAGCTGTAAGCCATAATCATCTCAATTATGACACCACGGCTTGAACTATCTTGCTTTGCTTGTAATGAGTCTATCTCATATATTAGGTTCCCCTTTTAAGTTGCATTACCGAAATAAATGAACTTTTGCACGATATTCTAACTTTTTGAGTTTCACCTGTATACCTCAATGATTTCTGTGTCCTTAGATAAATGTGCAGGGCAGAGAGATCATCAAAGCATCACAATATAGGCATGCTGGATTTTAGAAGAGCTAATTTCCAAAACTTTAGAGAGCTAATAATCAGGATCCCATGAACAAAATAATCAGATCAAAGTGAAATTAGAAGAGTTGTGTGTATATGTGTGTGTATGCATATGTATGTGTGTGTCTATGCATATGTATGTGTGTGTGTGTGTGTGTGTGTGTGTGTGTGTGTGTGTGTGAAATAGATGATGGAGGTAATTTGCAAGGATTAGGAGCTTTACCAGCAAGTAGCTAATATCTGTAGAAAGCAAATTAGGAAAACTAAAGGGGGAAAAACAGAGCAGATTCTAGAAAAAAAGGCCTGGCTGACTGTTAAAAGATGGTAGGATAGTCATGGATAATAGGGTGAAGGCAGAGCTTTCAACTCCTACAGTACTTCAGTCCTTTCAATAAGAGAATTATGTTCAATGGACCTAGATAAAACAAATGACAAAAGGATGGGGTGGCCACCCAAAATAAATATGGACAGAAATACAGAGAAAATAAATAGGAACAATGTGCTAGGTACACATTTTTTTAAATAAGGTATGAATTAGAAAGCTTGTTGTTTATTAGTCCTGAAGTATTATAATACTGATTCAGTTTCCTGGGACTAATACTGTTACAGTAAACTGAAGTTCAACTGATTAAAGAATCTTAGTGAACAAATATACTTGATAATCTCCATGTGATGCACAGTAGAAGAATTATGTGTCTGCTCTAATTCAGCAAATATTACAAGAGATTGTATGTTTTCCTCTATATGGGATTTATGCATGGAGTATTAGTCTACAAGAGGGGAGATTATGGTAAATTAAGAATTACTGTTTGGTTGCAAATAAAACAATGCAATCAATAGATTAAGACTACAAATTCAATGCATTTTTTCATTTATTCAAATTTTCTGCAGGAAGTAAACACTGAATTTTAAAAACTTCACACTGCCATATGTACAGTTTTGCGACATTACATGAATAAGTCATGTCTTAATAAAATGAGAATTTTTATTTTTTTTTAATCAGTGAAAACTTCACAACAAAAAAGGCTGTATAAATTCCATAATTTGTATGTATGTCAATGCAAAACAAGATTACATTATCTGAAAATACTGCAATAGAATTTCAGTGGCTTTAAATGGAATTAAAAACTTAACAATATTTGTGACGGGGGGCAAGGAGAGGATCTTTTTGTTTTAAAGGTAGTTCTTTTTTCCCCAGGCTCATTCATTTGAAGCATTCTTTTACAAAGCTGAAATACCATAGCAGAAGTCATGTTCAGAAACAGAATACAGTGATAATCCGGTTTTGACAATTTTTGCCATTGCAGAGATGCACAGGGTCCCCCATGCATTTATCATGCAGCAATAATTACAATTTTAAATAAAACATTTTCTATACATTCCTCCAGACTTGCACTGTATACATACATGCAAAATGTTAACCCTATGCAATAATATTTACATTTATTAATACATGGAATATACAGAACAAAATGATTAAAATGTTAATTTCTTTGCATTTGATATAATACAAAATATGTATTTTAAAGAAACCACTATTTACATCATAGTTTTTAGAAAAAAAATTAAACATGTTAAGAAGTCTATATATTTACATATGTATACATATATATAGAGAGATATAAAATATAACTTGCCAGTTTATTCAACTAAGATGCAGCAGAGAATTAACTGGTAATATTTTGCTCTCATTAGTGACAATCCAAGGGAAAACAAATTATTAACAAAAAATTAAATACTTATTTCTTGTTATAGAAAAACAAAGGTGGCTGAGCACACCTCAAAAATCAAGTATTTCTGATATTGAGAAATTACAGTAGGTTTCTGCTATTTATTATACCAGCCTGGCCCTGAAAAAAAAGTGATATTGCATTGAAACTCAGATTTCTTAAAGAAATACACCTCTTTTCGGATTCACTTGGACAACCTGAAAAAAGACAGTCTGATTTAGTGAATAAATGGATGTGTTGCATTTGTGCAAAATCTGAGTAGTATTTATTTGCAGGTAAGCATGTATGTGATTCAGTTGTACCATCCAAGATTATGAATAGTCACTTGGAAGTAAGCCCTATTATATTCATGGAGTCACAGCCAAGTGTGGAAAATAAAACATTTTTCCGAGTAAAATAGAATGCCAAATGTTGGGGATATGTCAATTTATGTTTGCTTTTATATGATGGAAGAATGAGATAAATATTACTTATTACTCTTGTATATATTTTATGCTTTTGTAACTGAATTTACGCAGGATTAGAGATCCAGATAGGAACCAAAGAATAAAAATAAAGAGGGAAACAGAAGGAGTGGATAATCCCTCGTTCCTAAAATAACTTTTAAAGTCAATTTACTGCTTTTTGTAGTTCTCAGCCCTGAGGTCAAGCTGAAAGTAAAGCACTTGCAGGAATGTGTGCTTTTTCTTCAAATCAAACCTTTCTCTTCATTTAACATCTTAAATACTTAATTAATTTACACTTAACTGCAGTACATGAATCAAGTTCAGACATGTGATGTTCATAATTTAATTTTAACTGCAATTCTAAGTTTTGCTATTAAATGTGGTATTTTGAAGTTTGCAGTCTGAAATATTTCTATTTTAGAAATGTCTAATATAAAATACTAATAATGCAATGCTAACTAGCGATTATTATCAAAATAATACATGTGTGTGAGGTGCTGAAGTGGCAAGAATAGTAAAGCAATTAATGTATTATTAAAAATTATGCAAAAAGGTTTTAGCCAGGTTTTCATGCCTGTGTGTTTGAGACACAAAACAATCAAGCCCATTAAACATGATCTCAAATATAACTTAATAGTTGAAAAGTGAGATTCTATATTAAAATGGCTGATTCTAAATGTTGTAAGGCAAAGAAATACATAGAAACTGCTTCTCAACTGTATTTGAATAAATCTAATGAACTCAAAAGAATGTATTTGAGAATATTTGAGAATACATTTGAGAATACATTATAAGATTGCACTATAATAGTGCACTAATACATGTCTATTGAAACTTGCAAATCAATTTCAATTTCATGCACATTTTTGGTTTATGTTCCACTTAGACCAAAATATGTGTTGTTGAAAGTGGGAGGGAAGAGCCATTGGGCAAAAGCAAAAGACATTGAGGAAAATAGCTAGAAAATATAAAGGAAGGGATTGGGAATACAGAGTAAATAGGCAGGGACACTGCTGTTGCCAATATCCTTGACCCAAAGGTGCCTTTTCAAAAGGCAACTGGACTTTGTTCTTTCTTGAAGTTTTGCTTCTCATCCAAGACATTTCTTTAAATCTTCAATGAAACATCTTCAAGGAAAAACGAAGTTCAGTTGCCCTTTTGGGACAATCATGATGACTGAGAATCTCTCTAGACCAACATCCTTGAGTTCAACTCTGCTTATTCATTTAGTATGCCCACCCTCTGAATCTTCCCAGATCATCCATTCATTAGCTCTCTTTAAATGCTGCTGATGTACTTGCCTTCAAGCATAGTGTAATGAGAAGTAGAGAAAAAATGGCATAGGGAAGATTGGTAAATGACTTGCTGTACAGGCCATGTAGAAGATAAAGGAGAAAAGAGCAAGGAACAGTATTACACTATTCCTCTTGTAAGAGACTTCCAGACTTCAGTCTTGATGAAATCACAATAACCAAAATATCTGGGTTTCAGTTCTGCTGAATCACAGTCACCAGCAGAACTTCCAAGGAACAATGTTTGTTCCATTTAAAAACAAAACACATTGTCCATGTTTTGCACACACCACTAAACAAAAAGTTTAATTTAATTTGATTGGGGTTTTTTGCACCTATAATGAACATAAGACTTGAGCTTCAATATTACACATAAGAATTTACGCAAGACTTGTAATTTGTTGCTATTGCTATGGGTCATGTAATAGCTGTAATAAGAATTAAGTGAAATTATGAAAATTAAGTTACTGATGGCACCTGGATATTATGCTAACTTCTCAAGGAATAATGGCAGTTTCTGGGAAACAATTGATGTTATGCTATTTACATTTTATTCGTAATTCATTTGATGGCATACTAGTTATTGTGGAAATAAATTTCTGTATTTTCAATTAGAGTAGCCTTCTCATTTACTCTCAGCATAACCTGAAAGGTTATGATATGTATCTGTTTATATAAAAGTTTAGTCTGCCAATAATAACTATTACATACATATTTTCAACATAGCTGAACCTGCTGAGCTGAGCTGTACTAGATTTGGCTTTTTGTCAAATACAATTTTACCCAAATCTGTGGAAGACTTGAATTGATCTGGATTTAATCACAATAAAAGGTGTTACCAAGTAATGTGTTTGAAAAGGAATGCAGAAAATTATATATAAAAGTACCATTAACCTTGATACTTCAAAATTATAATTATAGAAAAATTTAAATAATCCATGATTTCATTGGAACTAATCTAAATTTAAAAATTATTTTTATTTAGCTTTGTAATGTGTTTAACATGTATTTCATGTCTAATGGGATAAATTAAACCAACAATTTTGAACATAATACATTTATTAATGATGTTTCTTGCCACTTTCCCCTCTAGGCATCTGGAATTCCATGAATCAATAAAATAACATCTTTCACACTAGTAGATGCTTAGTTTATTTACTTTATATTTTCCAGTTCTGCAGTCAAATGTAGAGTTTATTTATTTTAAGGCATTTAAATATTAAAATCATTCAGTTCTTCCAATTTATAATTCCTTTCTTATTGCTCGGATAGAAAAAGTTTAAAAATGATCATGAGCTGGTTTAGATCATTTGATAATTTATACATCTTTCATCTTAGCTATATAAATCTTTTATATATATGAATTAGTGAAAATAGATCACAATGTTAGATTGACTATCATATTTTTTTCTTTTTTTAAGCATGAGTCTAGAATCTTTCAACTTAATGTTAATTTCCCTGGAAAATTTGAATAAATGTAAATAAATAAACAATTAAAAGTAGTGAAAGAGATTTATCTTTTCCTGCCAGTAATTTATGATTCAGCTTCATTATTTTTTAAAGTCACAACCTAGATTTAATTTATTGAAGCTGAGTGTCTAGGAAAGGCAACCAAAAAAAGGACAGTATTTCTTGTGGTTCTGTCCAATTATGCAAATATAAATTACAAGCTATTTGGAAGCACTAGAAATTTCATTGTGTACAATTCTCTAGTTAACACTGATTAAGTATTACAAAAACAACAAATAAATGACTTGGCCTGGATGATGATCCATTTATATATATAAAAATATTCTTCACATTTTATAAATGAACAGACAATACAAGATGATGGTAGCCCAGTTGTGAGAGAAGAGAAAATATACAATGTTGAATGATGCAATATTTAAATGATACTGCATTGCATGAGTAACACCAGTATCTCACAAAAAATCCTTTTTTATGTATTTTACTACAGTTGCTTTTGTCTCTATACTTATTCCTACACTCGCCCAGATACATGTAAATAAATCTGCTCATATGATTTATTTTGTTTGCCATGTGTACAAATCACATACAGCTTTTTGAAATGTCTGTGATTTATCACTTTCGTGGTTTTGAAACATTTAAGGAAAATAGTATGGATTTCCATAAGCAAATACTTATGTGCAAGGACAGTAATAGCAGTTACTCACTGAGTACAATCCAGCTGCAAATTACTCATGGACATTTACATAATTAACAAGTCCTGATGACATGTATTGTGATAAATTTCTAGTAAATTTCTAGTAAAGCAAAAATAAAGAACAAAAGCTGTATGCATCTTAAATATCAGCAAAAAAAATTCATCAAACAAAACCATAGCTATACCATGCTCTTCTCAAATCATGCTAGATTTACATTATTTTATTCAAAGAAAATATTCAAACCTGATTGTAAACACTTTGTAAGATTTTAACCTACTCAGGTTCTTTTTTAATTGTTAATACCTTTTCTAAGAGTCCATATACTTCTCCATTGTGTTGAATGGACATATTATTTGAATGGCTAATGTATGCATTTCTTCTATTAGGAAATGTTTTACATTCTGTGACAGGAGACAACTCTTTCTTCATTGTGACAGAAGATGAATTTTCCATAAATGATTTATCTCTCCAAGCATCTTTGCTATGGGCTTCCTGAATACTAATAGGGTTCCCCCCCTTTTGTAACATATAATACAATATTGGATTAGTTTGGGTCAGTCTTGGGGAGTCTCTCTCAAGATCATTTTTGTCAGAATCAGTGATGACCCATTTTAGAGGTCCCCTTTCATTAGGTACATGGCAAATGCTAAACTGGTCACATTCTGGCTTTGATGATACTGTGCCTCCCAAATGTTCAGTGAAGGGAGAACTGGCAGGACTCTTCATAGCAACTGAATATTGAAATGTCTGGTAGTCCAAGCAATTGCTTGGTTGCCCAGGGTTCCCTATGAGAGTATGCATAGGAGAAACACTGAATTCAGCCTTGTCATTATTTGTTAGGTTATGTTTGCTTCCTTTCTTTTTGCCATCCATTACTGATAAATTATTTCTATGCTGAGACATATCTTTTTCACAATTTTCTGATAGAAGCAGTTGTTTTAGCACATTAAATCCTTTACTTTCTGTAGACCAACTTCTGTTTTCACTTTCATTATTTGACACATAACCTGAAGAATATTTTATTTCAAAATCAGTTTTTATGAACTTAGATTCTTTTTGGTTAAGACAACTGCCATACAAAGCATCTGCAGTAGTTTTGTGGTTGATTGTGACATCAGATATTTTACCTTTATTACTTTTTAGTATTTTTAAAGGACCTTCTAAAGAATCAGAATGCAATTTTCTCTTTTTGGGGAGCATACTGTGACTTTTTGATTCCACAAAACTCTGTTCATGGTTTCTCCTATCCAGGTTATCTGCAGAGCAGCCATCTTGACTCTGTCTCAGTAATCGACTTAGAAGTCCATTCTTCGAAAAGGAAAAGTCTTGAGATGTAAGAGACTGGGACTGAAATTCTTCTGATGCTGGAGAAATAGCTATATTTCTCTCTAAAGAATGAGTTGTTTCTGGAAATTTCTTATTAACATTTTCAATTATTTGTTGAGCATTTGAATTCTGAAGGGCACTGGATTCTTCCTCAGAAGGCTCAGCTTTTATTTTTACAGTTAGTATTTGTTCATTCAAAACTTTTTCTGTTGGATCTTGTAAACACTCTTCTTTCAAAAACATTTTTTCCTTTGTTTCATTCATATTTTTGTTGGTGGTTCCCAGAAGTAACTGGAGCACAGTGCGTCGTTCTAGCAGATTTTGGATTTCTGAATTGGGAAGTTTTTGTTCTGGGAGAAACTGATTAGTGAGAATTCTGTTTTTTTCAAGTGTACATGATGTGTTATGAAGCAGGGAGGTATTTAGTCCATCTATCAATCCTACTGGTTTCTCAGTGTTAAGAGTCATCAGTTGTTTGTTTGCTTGTCTTTGGTTATCCCCTGACATGGAAGACTGCATCCCACATTGAGCTAAGTTTTGCAATAGTTTACTTGCACTGAAAGATGAAGGTGTTTGTAAAGTTTCTTTTTTATTTTGTTTACTTCCATGAAGTTCTTTGTGAATAGTAAGATCTATCAAGTGTTTAGAAGCTGGATTAGATAGTCTCTCGGGCTGTATGATGCAAGTATATGGTGGTGAATTACATTTTATCATTAAAGGAGAATTGTGTGAAAGGTTGATAGGTGAATCTGCTTTTGCAGAAGTTTGCAAAGGAGGAGTATGTACTGGAATTATTCGATTAGTATTAGAAGAGTCAGTAATAGGAGTTCTGTTAGTCATTGAAAAATTAAATTTCGCCACATCAGCTGGAACTAATGTTCCTTCTGTTTCTTTAACTTTTGGTGAGTTTTCTTCTTCCTTATGACCAAGTAGCAATTGCAGTAAAGTTACTTTTTGGTGTGGATTCAATTTTGTATTTTTAGAAGTATCTTTTTCTTCTATGTTTTCCAGACATGGGACTTTTGATTCCCAACTATGAAACAACGATTGAGTTAAATTGTCTAGAGAAGTTGTCTGCCCTGAATCTTGAGTATTTGTTTTTTGTTTGAAAGACAAATCTATAGGAAGACAATTTGAATGGGAACTCTCATCATCACTACTATCATCTTCTGTAAAACTTGGGTTGTTGTCAGAGTATTCATCAACAGTAGTTGGTGTACTGCTTTCCTCAAAAATGCTGGACCTGTCATTTTGTTCATATTGTTTGTTCTGCTTAGTAGTACTATGATTTTTCAGGAGGTGCAAAAGCAAACTACTGTTAGTAGGTGGTTTCATATGACTTTTTTCTGATGTTTTATAGTTTGTAAATTTTGGAGATGAATGAATTATGCCCATATGACTCTGAAAATTTGTGGTATTGCTTTTATTGGTTGTTGTTTTGTTTGAACATCTTGCCTGACCATTCAAATGGCTTTCCATTCCTTTTGATAGTTTAAAACGACCAACATCTTTTGGAGGAACAGTTTCTTTTAGTTTTGCCATAGCAGAAAGTCTCTCACTTGCGATTTGATTGGCATTTTGTGCTTTTAGAGCATGTTCCCTGGAATATTGCTGCAAGTGTGCTTCACTTGAAAGAAGCAAAGCAAGTTGGCTGCAGGCAACACTTGGCTTAGGTGATGCAGCAGGACTAGATCTTTTCTCTACCATGTTTGCAACAGCTTGTAGTCTTGCAGCACAAGAAAGTGATTCATTCATTGCTTTTGAACCACTTTGTCCTGAATGTGTAGATTCTTTAAACCGATCTTGAACTAGGTTTGTTGTTAGCTCTGGCAGACCAGTCTCCAGTTTTTCATCTTTCAATTTGTTTTTTTTCAGCAAAGTCTTCAAGTGACTGGATGCAACACCATAGCACCTCAAGTCTTTCTCTACCTGCGAGGAATCATTGCTGAGCGAATATCCTTGCTCTTTAAGGCTCTGCCTAATTTGTTGCGACAAAGCAACACTCTGCAACCTAGAGCTAAATGACTGTAGTAAGGAAGCCAGCAATGTGCTATCTTGCTTGCTTTTAGGCACATTTTCAACCATGCCAGCCAACAACGCTTCTTTTTTCTCATTTATATCCACAAAAGAATCAGACAATCGTCCTTTGTTTTCAGCATTCCAGTCTTCAGAAGACTGTAGCAATCTTGCCTTTTTATGATGCAACATGCCAGAACTTCTATATGTATGTGTGTTGGGAACACCATCTCTCTGACAGCTAGGAGATGCATTTCCAGAAACGCTGAAATTCTGATCTTCAGCATTACTAGTAGGCTTTTTGTCAACGACAGAACCCGAACCTCCGGCTGTCTGATGCATTAGTAATCCCTCTAAGTAAGTTAGAACAATGGAATCCTGGTGCATCTCAGAGACAAGATCTTCTCCATGAGTCATGTTCAATACAAGTATCCACAAAAGCTCTCTTTTTATTCTACTTAGGATCTAGTGTATTATACGTGAACTGAAATTTAGCTCAACAAATAAATGTATACATTTTTTCCAAATTTGATGCTCTTTTTGATGCTCTTTTGCAGATCTTTCCATTAAGTATTTGTAGAAGAAGCAGTGTTCCCATTTTTCTCTGATTTAATATACACCATTTATGATGTTAAGGGACTATTGTATGGTGTCAGGTTAAAATGTTTTTTAGGGATTGACAATATTGTTTTCCATCTTCTTTCATCATATTACAAACACTTGATTCCTGTAAAAGAAAAAGAAATAACATATCAAGCCAAATCAAACATAAATGTTTCATACAAGCAGGTATATTTCAAAATTCTATGTACAATTTCAGGTAAACCTTCCTATATAATTTTATTACCCTTCACTTGATTTTGAAGAGCACTAGAAGCCACAACAGCTCTGAAATGCAGTTGTGTGGGCAACTGATGAGTGGTTCCACAGTCCTAATAAATAGATCAATACTCTTTAAAAAATATTTATAAGGATTTCTATTAGATTGATGAGAAATTTAGAAGAGTTGTAGACTGACCATTTATACAGGTTTGGAAATAGTAATACTTTCAGTTTTTGGATTAATATGTTTTGTAGGAATATATAATAATAATTTTGTGAAGTTCAAATAGTTATGGGTTTCTTTTTTTAATGTATTATTCCACCATTAGCACCATAAATAAGACATAAACATGGTAGAAGTAGACATAGCAGTAATCCATGCAAAGTAAACTTTCACATTTGGGGAAAGAGAAATAACATATGAAGTAGCATGCATAATATCATACAGATATTATGTACCATACGGATAATATCAACTTGTGTCTGGTTACTTAATGACCATTCAAAATTATGATGGTCTCAGAACAAGTTATTATTATTTATTAATTTGTTTGCTGCCCATTTCACCATAAGGTGACTCTGGACAGCTTACAATGTTAAAAAGAATCAAACAATAGAAAATCATTTATATAATAACATTAAACACTATAAAATGCAAATTATCTTCTATAACTAAAAGATGGGGAGGGATGTAGTATGTAGTAGGATGTGTATGAGAGGGAGATGGTCCAAATGAGATGGCAGGGGGTGGGGGGAGTCACACACACATTGCATCATGGGTGCAGGCACATCAGCACACGTGAGCACTTTTGGCATGCAACGTGGAAAAGGTTCGCCATCATGGTACTATACTGTTTTTTTTTTTAAATGTATCAATTTATTAGAGCCTAATGGTACCCTTAAGAGATCTTAAGTGGTCTAAATCTGAAAGAACCCTTTCATCTATATTTAGATTTTGAAATTATCCTTGTTTCCTTTTTTTTTTTTTTTAAGCCAAATGCTCAGTATTTAGCTGGATAATTCAATAAAGATGTATTCTCAATTTTACTAGGCTTCCTTGAAAGTCATTTATGAATAGATATTTTGCATCTAAGGTTCATTAATTAGAGCAGGGGTGTCAAACTGGATTTCTTCATTTTTGCCCTCCATAGCCTCCTGCAGCACTCTGCTGGGCCATTTTCAGCCATTTTTTGGCCTGTTTTGGGCCCATTTTTCAGCCCAATTTTTTGGCCTGGCTTCAGCCAGCAGAGTGCTGCAGGAGGCCATAGTGGGTGAAAATGAGGCACGGGGAGCTGCACATGGCCTGTTTTAGCCACCAGAGGCATTGCGGGATGATCCCTTGATATTTCCAGGCTAGCCCTGTGGGGCCTTGAGTTTGGCACCCCTGAATTAGAGGATTATTTTTGTACTAGGTATATATATATATTTGTTCTCAACTGTCAGCCTGTTTTGATCTTTAACACCTAGACCTAACATATTATTTATAATCTAGAAACTTCAATGAATTATAAAGGTTTTTATGGGAAAGATAAACATCTTAATTTTATCTTAATTATTACTAAATTGATCATGTAAATTACAACATTCCTGATTTTTAGTTTTACCATTTTGAATTCAGTTTCTTTTTTCTTTTTTAGTTGTTTAGTCATAATGTCATTGTATTAACAATGTTGTAGTCTGTAAGCAATATTTGGAAGGAAATGTTATTCTTTTATTTACATGATAATTTTGCAGTATAAGAAACTCTGAATCCTCACAGGGGGATGTTTTATGGTAAAATTCATGATCTAACAGGAATGAAATACTTTAGATCAACTAATGGGCAACCACGTTTGAGATTTTGATTTATCACAAGAGCAATTTGGAAAATCCAAAACCAAATGAAATGTATACAAATAAATCAATCTTATCCAGATTCTTTAGCAGTTGTGAGTTTCTAAGTGGAACAAAAATTTGTCCTGGGATTATTACAAATTTACAATTTTTAAAAATTAAAATATATTATTAATGCCCATTATTAATTTGGAATGTGTTCTCATTACAGATCTTAAATATTAAATATAATTCTTGTCTTAAGAAGATTCTTAGTTCAAGAATCTTATTGGAATGCATCATATAAGGTTTTCATTGAGCACAAACACACTGCAGCAACTTCGAACACCAGAAAAGGGAAACAAACCACCCATTTTCCAATGAAATGGATATTGATTACACCAGAAGCAACACAAACTATGAAATTGAGAACATGACCATACATCAAAAATATCTCTGAAACAACCAATAGACCATTACAATGACACAACATCACTGTAGTAATCAAACCAAATAAAGTTCTCCAAAATATCTTAAATAAATTAAAACTTTAACAGTCCAAGAAGAAAACATAGGAGTCATCTACAGTATAAGAGCCGTAACAGCCACTATGTAGGATTGGCAGGCATGAACAATAGCTAGCAGTAAGAAGGCACAATGAAAGCCTTAATTTCATAACACATGACTAAAACACAATTTCAACTGGGAAACAGTATTTTAGATCAAGTAAAATCCAAAAATATTAGGGAATTCCTGAAAGCTTGGCATTTGGATAGTTATCAATAGACACATAGAAATAAGCCATATTTACGTACCATTCAAAACAGACAACAAAAGCTAAAAAGGAAACAAAAAGACCAGAACTCATCCCTCCAGTAGATATACAGAGAATAGCACAAGACAATAAAGCAGAAAGCAATGCCCTAATCAAGGTCCAGTACCTAAGCTACTGTACATAAATACGAATTAAAAATTACACTCACTAGCCCTGATTTACCTAGTTGATTAATGAAATGACCAGAGGAAGATGAAATATTACATAAAGGCTTTGCCTTTAGAAAGTGGTTTAAAGATGTGATATAACTCTGAATTGTAATTCAACAACCTGGGATCTATCACTGGTCATATCATCAAATATGGGAGTAGAAAAAATGACTTTCCTTTTAAAGACAATCAGGAACTGATAATGTATTCACTTTCTACTTATGAACAATCTCTTTTACTTGATGTAATGGAGAGACTAATGAATATTATTCCTTATTTGATCTGTAAGTGCGTATATTTATAATCTGGAAATTTACATAATGCACACTAAAGGTTAATCACTAATATTTATACTAAATCAAAACTGGGTGAAATGTGAAAAATATATTTTTCCTTCACAATGTTTCTATGTACTACTGAAAAAACAGGCAAATGTATAAACAAATGAGCAAATGTATAAACTAGTGAAAACTGCTTATATAGTCATGCATATGATAGGTGACCACATAAATAAATAAATTCAGTTATAAAATCAATTTAGTAATTATGAAAATAATTTAGTAACCGTAAAACTAATCTTTAATTTTCTTTATATATTTATATTTTCTTGCAGCATCAAAGTCGATTATTTAACATATAATAAATCTACAGCAACAATCACAGTAACAACATGATAATGAAAACTTTTTTAACAGTTTCCCAATTTTATAATTGAGTACTCAACATTTCACTTTTCTTTTTCTAATTATTAAAGGAGCTGCGAAAATTCCAATTTAATGGAAAACCTCACCTGCTTTCTTTACATACTAGACACATACAGTACATTATTTTTGTTCCATTGGAGAACATGTAAATTTTAAAAAGAAAAATAGTTTGTTGGTGACATGTTTTTTAAACAATACATTCAAAATCTGAATAGCATAATGATTTTCATTTTTTTTTCCAGGCAAGGGCTTTCTTACACATGTTTAGCAGAGGTGGTATTCAGCAGGTTCTGACCAGTTCTGGAGTACCGGTAGCAGAAATTTTGAATAGTTCGGAGAACCGGCAAATACCTCTGACTGGAGATTTTACGGTATCCTTCCCCTGCCACACCCACCAAGACACAGAACCAGTAGTAAAAAAAATTTGAATCCCACCACGGATGTTTAGATTTTTAGAAGATTAAAAATATTAATATTACACTTTTCAAAAGCAGGATAGGAACACTATTAGTGCTTTTGAATTTTGGGTTGGAGAACACTCTTAAGAATACTATGGAAATCCAAGAAAACAAATGAATGAATTATCAAACAAATCAATCCAGAGTTCTCACTTGAGGCACAAATGAATAGACTTAAATTGTCATACATTAGATACATTATATAAAGAATTATCTTTTTGGACCCTAATGATGGGAAAGGGAGAAGGAAAGAGAATATGTATAATTTTATTCAAAACGCGACTTCTTTTTGCAGCCAGAAGCTGCAATCTGACCTTCTTTTAATAATTTTCTGCTCGCTTTCAGACAATCCAGCCAAGAGAAATATGCCCGTTTTGAACAAAGGCTGAGCAAAAACTGGGGACGCTAAGGAGGAGCCTCAAGTAGGAGTGTCTCAGAAATCAGCTCAGCCTATTGGACGAGAGACAGAAGCACCTCCCATGCCTGGATGCTCTGAACAGCTCATCTGGAGAAGGTCCAGTTCACTTTGTTATGGAAAAAATCTGAATGTTGATTTGATGCACATAATCAACCAATTAATCAATTGTGCAGAGTGCAAACTAAAAAAAGCTATAGAGTGCAAAAAAAACTCCACAGAAAGATGTGTTTGTGATGCTTCTTTTACACTGAATAACATAAAATCTTTCATCTATTGTTTTTTGACTGGTATCAGTTAGGAACCATATTTCAAATGTCTACCTTTGCCTTGCTGTGTGATGTGTACTACACAAGACAGCTATTCATTTTTAAATTTGGTTAGACTTCTATTTTGGATATATATTGTCATTTTCTCATAGTTTACAGTTTTTATTAATTTATAATATAAAATACAAAAATACAAAAGCATTTTTTGTATTTTATATTACAGGTGAAACTCAAAAAATTAGAATATTGTGCAAAAGTTCATT